TATCACTTGCCTATTACATTCTCACGAAGTCGTTGCTGAGCTGTGCTATAATTGTTCTAAGACAAGAGATGCCCCACATTAGGTTGGAAAGCTGGTTTAAAGATAACCTTGGCAGCCCACACAGTTTCCTTGAGCCATTCACAGGATAGAAATGCAACGCCTTTCCCAGATGTTTGAATCCTACCTTATTTAGCTGCAATCCTCAGGCTTCTCCAGTACCAACTTGAAAAAACATTTGCTTTCTTTGATTTTTCCTTAAGTCAATTGGTCACTCAAGTAGCGTAGACTATCTGATTGCTTTGAGAAGTGCCATTGCTGCATTAAACCCTTTTTTCTCTGAAGCAGTATGTCTCAGTACAAAGGATCTGAGTATCTGTTTTGTCAAGGCTGAAACACAGAACAGGCTTTTCTTGCTTAGCACTTCTCTTTGCAATTCTGCTGGTTTCCCCTCTCTCTTCTATGGTAAGGTTGAAGACTCAAAGTGTTAAAGTAAGGAATAAAAACTCCATTAACCATGTTTTTATCAGTCTCCCCAGCAAGACAGAAATCTGGCATCTTTAGAACTTGATTCTGCCTGGTGACGTGAATTCTAGGTGCAGGAGCAGAGAAGGAATTTGGGAGTTCTGATCCTGGCATACCTAATATTGCTTTCATCCCCATAGAATCATAGAATACCATCATCTGCCAGAGAAATCCTCATAGCCAGTATGTGTTTATTGTCTTGGTTGTCTGTCTGCTATAATTTCACTGCCTGTGGTGCAAGCACCTACACCTGCAGTGCTTCTCTCTTCAGCCTGAACTACTAGGGGATCTCTGCAGAGTAGCAGTACTGGGGCATGTGGCTTTCCTGGGCCACTGGAGGGCAGGGCTGGTATTATGTATCAGGAATGAAATGAGAAGGAAGTTACTCTCATGCACAACAGCCCCCATGAAGCACGTTTGTGTATTTTGAAGTCTGTGCCCATAGAGTAGGCAATAACACCCCGTTTTCAGCCTTTATTTCAGCACCAGCAGAGAGTGATCCTTTGATCCTTACTTTGCACTTTTGCGGTGTAAAACAGAACTAGAGGAAAGGCTTTGCCTGTTCATTTCTTCTTTAATTGCCAGCATCTCTGGGCTATTTAAACTGTGATGAAAACACAGTGAGTCATCGTGACAGTATTGACAGAGCAGGGATCAGGGTGAAAGCAGTTGTAAACCCAGCATCCTCTGACTTTGCACACTCAACTGCCCACACGGAATGCTGTAGCAAAACACACAGAGAAAAAATAGAGTCTTAGTTTAGCTATCAAGCAAGCCAAGTTCAGGATTATGGGCTGGTGATAAGGAGAGTTCCATAAAGATGGTTGTTGAAAGGAAGCATCCTTGTTTGTATTGTGCTTCAGGAGGGTCAGGAGCACTGGCATGTCTCTCTGAATTATCTTCACAAGACAATCAGGTCAGACTTTCATTAATTTTACAAACCAGATTTGATCCATTTGGGGGATTTTTCACAGTAATAAATCAAACAGCTTCTGCACTGGTGAAGGGCATTTAAAAAAGGAAGTTGAGCTCCACTGTGAGCTGGGGGAAGGAAAGGGATGAATGAGTCAAAAGCCCAATCCAGACTTCTCCTCAGACTCTTGTTCTGAGTGCTGAGTACATTTCTGACAAGCCCTAGAGAAGCGGTTAGAGACAATGCGCAGGAATGTGAAAGATACTAAAAATTTCCATTAACTTAATAAATGAATAAATAAAATCCTTAATTCTAACTGTACCTGTAGTTCATTTGTGCTCAGCAGAAAAAAAATACATGCTTTTATATGTGGGGAAGAATGATCTCAGAGAAGAAGAAAACATACCAAAAGAGGAAAACACTTTGAATGACAAAGACAGGGGAAAAGAGCCAAAATAAAATGTAGGAAATGTGAGGAGAGGGTAGACAAGAAGAGGAACAGAAATAATTGTGGATGGATTACTGGGGTTTTATTGTAACTTGTAGAGGTTTTTTGGGGGGTTTGTTTTGATTTTTTTTAAAGAAAAAGAACAATGTAATCCTGTGGTTGAGGGTTATGGTAAACAGAGAGGCCAAAGGAATAGCTGAACAACGTGTGGAGGAGACAGCTGAAGATAAACAAGTCCCCAGACTTCCCCAGCTCACAGGACAGAAACAAATGAGAGAAAACAGAAACCAAGTAAGTTCTGCAGATAATGAGAGTTATATATGTGTAATGCCAGGGGAGAGGCAGACCTGTATGACTAAAGAGAACTGAAGGAATAGACCTCGTACTTGTAGATAATGGTAAGAACTGTTCTACCACTGAGATAAATTTCAGTGTCTTTGAGGTGCTGAAGGTGAATTTGTTTTAGAATTTAAAAATGTGCAGAATGTGACATTTTCCCTGGTAACCCAGGTTTAGGGATATGAGGAAGAGCAAACTTACCCCTTTGCCTGTCATTCAACTCACCTTCAGCACACGGGTATGCATGGGTATGGTCACAGAAACAAACAGTGCATTGGTCCACTCAAGTGCGTGACTCCAGTATAAGCATAATGGCAACAATATTTTCAGGTGCTGGTACAGCACATTCACAAATTAACACAAGCTTTTGTTGTGCATATATAATATTTTTTCTGTACTTGTGTGTGTAGAAGTCACCAAATTGGAATGGCTGAGACTGGCAGGCAGCTCTACAGATATCTGCTCCAGGCCCACTGCTCTGAGTTGCTCAGAGCCATGTCGAGTTGGGTTTTGAATATCTCCAAGGATGGAGACTCCATAACCTCTCTGGGCATCCTGTTCCAGTGTTTGACCACCCTCACAGTAAAAAAGGTGTTGTTATGTTTGAGTGATATACCAGTCAAGTCCTGGCCTTTATGTTTGGAAATGGCTTCCAGAGGGAAATTGCTCCATCACTTCCTGACAAACCTGTAGCTTCACAGATCCTTCTTCTTGCCCTTTTTGAAGATGGGAGTGATAGTCTTTCTCTTCTAGTCCTCAGTAACCTCTCCTGATGAGCACGACCTTTCAAAGATAATCAAAAGTTTACTCACAATGACACCAGCCAGCACCCTCCGCACCCAGGGTGTCTCCCATCATGTCCTATGAACTTAAGTATGTCCAGTGCTCCCTGACCATGCCATCCTTCATGAAGGATGTCTTCCTTGGTCTGGATTTTCCCTCTGGTCTGAGGGGCATAGTATGGCTAAAGATTGGTCTTACCTATAAAGATCAGGACAAAGAAGTACCTTTGTCACTGATAGCAAGGCCAAACATCTAGGTAAAATGTTTACCAGAGATGAACATTTCATACAGAATTACAGTTAGTTTCTCAAGGATTGCCTTTTATCACTGCCATAACTCTTGCCAGTTTGAGGGGCAAGCCAAGCAATGCTCAGTAAGCTGCCCTTTTGGTTAGTGGTGGGAGCCCCAGCATTCAGGTACAGCACTGCTCTGTAAAACATGCAAAGTCTCACCTACCTGTCGTGGTTTAAACCCAGTCAGGCAACTCGTTCACTCACTCCCCCCCTTCTTTCCCTCCCCCTACTCCTGGAGGGATGGAGAGGAGAATCAAAAAGAATGCAACTCCCACGGGTTGGAATAAAAACAGTTTAGTAACTAAGGTATAACACAAATCACCGCTGCTACTACCAATAATAATAATGATAAAGGAAATAACAAGGGAAGAGAATACATCACCTCACCACCAGCCAACTGATAACTTGCCCCACCCCACCAGACCAAGCACCCACCAATACCTCCTCCAACCCCGCAGTCTCCCAGCCCTTCCGGCTAACTCCCAGTTACCTCCTGGGCATGACGTGCTGTGGTATGGAATACCTCTTTGGTCAGTTTGGGTCAGGTGTCCTGTCTCTGCTTCCTCCCGGCTGCCCCTCCTCCCTGGCAGAGCATGAGGCTCACAAAGTCCTTGGCCAAACCAAAACATCATTGTTATCAGCTCTGTTCCCGAGCTGAAAGTCAAAACACTGCACCGCACCAGCTACCAAGGAGAAAAATAACTGCTACTGCTACCAAAGACTACTCTTTTTCATAATCAGTCATTCCCACTAGGCTTAATTTTCATATGTAAATGCAAAGTATAGACATGGCATTGTTCTAAGAGTGTACTCTGGAACTCAAAATCTTAACAGATTTAGGCATCTCTCCCAGCCATTCATCCCTGTCTGAGGCATTTTGATGAACCATTCCCATATGCTGCAAAGCTTTCACTTGCTTCTTGCAGAAAAACTGAGAGAAAAAGTATGCTAGGTTGCAACACACCATCAAACAAGAAAGTCAAGAAACTCCAAAGCAAATATCACCTCCTGATGCCAAGTGAAGTGAATAGCATTTTGTGGTAGTGCCATCAGCCAGAGCTGCCCACACCTCTCGTGTTGTAAGCAGTAGGAGATCAGGGCCTCTCAGCAGCCTGTCCTCTGGAACTGAAAGGAGCACAGCCAGCTCCGACCAGCAATGAACTTGTCCGAACTCATCCATAAATGCTCAACTATTGCTGACATTTAACTCTTCCCCTTACATCTGCAATGATAACAAGAGTGAATGAATATATATATCCCTTTGTCAATAGTACCTGGATAGCTAGTCTGGTCTGTGAAAGCAAATCTAAAGCAAGCTTCATTTTTCTTCTTTTTCAACAGGGTGCTGCTTGCTACTGGGCCTTGACAGTAGTACTTGGGATATAAATGAAATTCTGCTACTGTCCAGGGCTGACTCACTTTAGCAGACAGGATATAGTCAGGCCATCAGAGAACATTCAGCACAACTGTCAAAAATCCATAGCTTTAATGGAGCGCCTCATTTTCTAGAGACAAATTGTTGGCACGTTGGCAATCTGACCCCCCTGTGCCCATGGAAGAGTGATGCTTCCTTAAGGTCCTTTCCAACCCTAACTGTTCTGTGATTTTATGATTCATTTGGAAGATCAAAAAAAAAACAACTTTGTGTTTTTGTGTTTCAGGTGGAAAATAACTTCTGACACTTGCTAGTGGAAAGCTTTAAATAAGTCTTTATTCATTCGGATAACAGAGACATAGATCAATGACTGTCCTGGGACCATGCAGGCATTAGAGCAGAATTTGCTATTATGCAACTTGAAGAAGTTGGCTGTGGCTGAAAATCAAGAGTACACTACCTGTGGTGGATTTTTAGCTCTACATAATATCTCTGGTGGTGCCACATCAGTCAAGCCATCAGAAAAGCTATGTCTTTATTCTTTTAGCGTTTGTTCTTGTGTCATATGAAGGTCACAGCACCAACATTAAATAGCTGAAGTACTCAGTATTGGCTCAGTTTTGTTTCAGTGAAGTCAGTGGTGGCTTTATCAACATAATTAAGCCCATTTTTGCCACTTCTGCAAGCTCCTTTGGACTGCAAGATTCAAAGCATTGTTAATTTCTGCTTGCATATGCCTACACCTCAAAAACCAGCTTGTTTGCACCAACAGCACCTGATTCCTATGTATTCTAGCTCTTGTGAGCACTGTCACTTCTGTACATGCTTCATTGTCTCTCCTGTGATCATCAAAGATACAGGACAATTTGCACTAGCAATTGCAACTGCAACTAGTCTATGGATACGTGAAAGGGGGAGACTAAAACCAAGTGAGGAATTCCATGTGGGAGACTAGGATTAGAAACTTCTGAGAGATGCATAACCAAAAGTAAGTAGGGAAGCCAAAGTGTGAGGGAGAGTTCAGCTGAGCTGAAAGATTGACAGCGCAAATAGAGCATTCACCCTGCAGAAGAGACTGCTGCAGAGTCAGGAGCAGGTATATGGAGCTAGAGATGGTGAAGAACCAGGCTGAAGGGTTTGGGGCAGTTGAAGGTTGAAAAATAGAAAAGTCTAGAAAATTCTAAGCCGTATAGTTAGGTTCTTGGCCAGCCCAGAAGCCAATGAGCAACCTCTGATGCATCTTCTATCTTCAGTGTCTGGCAAACATGAAGATGACAAATAAGCTGTGCCATTCTGTGTGCAAAACACAGGTTCCTGTGGAGCTAGAGCATCTCTGCCTTAGCCAAAGATTCACTTGTCTCTTCTACACCCTGCTGTCCCTCGACATACTCCTTTCTTTCTTCCTCACTGATTCTCTTGCCTTCAGTATTGGAAACCAAAAGTTGACCTGAAAAGACATAAATATGATACTATGATCATAGTGTTACTGAGTTACAGATCACCCAAGCACTTACATCCTCTATAGTTAGTATAGCTACCACCCTGACAGTGGGAGATTATTTTTTCCCTTGGAGTCGATGGCTCACCATTTTAGCAAACGTGTTCTTCCCAGTTTTCTCTTGTAGCTTTGCTCTTTTCTTCAGTAATTTTGCATGCAAGTAATGTATCCGTTTCATCTCTGTGTCAGGATAAAATGAAGTCAACACGAGTATTTTAAGTTGGGTCAGGAAGCCAGAGAATAACCCAAAAATGATTAAGAAGAAGGTGATGACTCCAAGCTGGATCCATGTTGTGGAGAGTGCAAGCTCTGGCTGAGGGAGGCAGTCATGCTTAAACAAAGAGATCTTGAAAGGATCAGTCTTTGCAATATGCTCCCTCATATCAAAGATAAAGCTGTTCTCATTCCTCTGCACAAGAAAAAGGGAGAGTTTATTATAGTACTGATTCCTTCCTTTCTTAATATTTCTCCCATTGGGCATTCAGGTTTACAAGGACCATAAATCATCTAGTCAATCCAGTGTCAATATATTTTCTATGCTCATAACAATGCATTTATTGGTTATTTCTAATTATTTCAGACTGCATTTACACCATTTCTCTTGGGACACTGTCCCACAGTTTGGAACTTACCTTCTCAGTGTCTCTGATAGGTAAGTATTTAACTAATCTGGCTATCATGGTTTAATATATTCCCAATAATCTGCTCAGATCCTCTTTTGAGGGTCCTTTCCTCAGAGTAAAACAGCAGAGCAGTGTGTATGACAGAATTTGATCAGCAGCTTGATTTTCAGCTAATTTTGTTAGTAGTTCACTTTTGTCTGAAGTGCTGCCATTCTTCAAGGGCGCTGTGTACTACACCTCCCTTCCCCTTCATGGTTCAGTCCCCACCAGATGAACATCCTGTGACACACAGGGACCACCAGTCTGCCATACACTGTCTAAGATGAACCTGTAGCGGCTCAGCAGCATGTCATAGAAAATGTGGTCTGGCTGAAGATGCCATCTCAAAGCTTCAATATGTCACATATGGAAAAATGATAATGGGAATGTCTCTGCCAAAGGTTGTATGTCCTCTTTTGTTTCCTTGTAATTTCAAGCAATGCACTTATTGCAGTGCTCACTTTAATTATCTTACTCTGTGTAATTGCTTTTGGCTAGATGAATGTTTGGGGAATGGGAATAAGAGGAAATGAATTGTCATTATTATGAGCTCTAAGAGGAAGTAATAGAAAAGTGGAATAAAAAAAATTGATAGAAGAATATATCGTATAGTACTAAAAATCATGCATCCCTTTGAAATCTTATTATCTTGAAAGTATCGAATGGTTATATGCTTTTGAGAACTGTTTTAAGCCTGATCATGCAAGCTGTCAAACTGGGCAGCTTTCTGGTGCATTTCACGGCATCACATGGGTCCTACACTCCAGTGGTGAAATCTCCAGCTTTAGAAGCATTCAGACTAGACCCTGCGCAATCTGATCCACCTCTGAAGTTGACCTTGTTTTTAGCATGAGCTTGGTGTAGATGGCCTCCACGGTTCTCCATGCTGCTACTGCTCCTGCTAGAAGAACCTTGTAATTTCAGCAGTGTGTTATTTCATGTGTATGTATCCAAGCTTATTTAAATGATGAGCTCCTCATACTACTGAGCTATAAAAAGGTAGACATCTCTTACATCAGTGTCATAGTGACATTTGACTATAAAAGTGGCAATTCACACATGTCAGCATTGTGAGTTTCCAGTTTTAAGCTTCTGGTCTTCTCCAGAAGAGTGTAAATAGAGTAATGAAAGTCCTTCTTCCTATATTTACCATTCTCTAGAAATATAATGACACTTCGGAAAGTGCAGAGAACTGTTTCCATCCAGCACGCATATGTGTAAAGGTAGTGGTCCTTTTTGAAACAAACAAATGATAATGCTAGGAAAGAATTGATGGTTGTGCGTCTGCTCAAGCAGATGCTGAAGATGAAGAGAACTTTTTCAACTTTAAGCTAAGAAATATACTAGGATAATAATAAAAAATAATAAACTAAGAAAGTACTGATAAGTACTTACTCGCTGAAAGAGGCTGAGCTGAATCTCTGTATCTGGTATTTCTTGGAGGTGTTTACTCACAGAAACAATTAACCAATAAAACAAATAATCTACTGCAGCAAACAGAAGCCAGATGCAAAGATGAATAACTACAGGAAAGAAAAAGTGCTGCATGTTTTTTCTGTCCTTCCTTGTGAGGCAGAAAGATGGGATTATTACATAATCTCTTCTTTCTTTTTTGTTAAGTGGCAGAAGACAGGGTCTTTGCTGTTGCTTTTGGCGCTCATCAAATATAATGAACTCTTTTGTGATGTAAGTATTCTTATATTTGGCACTGTGAGAGCCCACAAATTTTTTGATAAAGAGGCTGGTTCCAAAAGAAGCTAGAAAAATCCCCACTATAGGCAGTATTTTCTGGCCTATATAGGGCAGTATAGTCAGCATAAAAGATACCTCGTTAGCAACTCTCTCGATTTCTTGCTTTGTGTCATTTAGCTCTTGTTTTAATGCATCATCTGAAATTGAATAAGATGTTGTGAATTCATGCCTTAGAAACACTATATGTTTAAATAGATCAGAGGAAAGCTTGGTCATCTCATAAATCCATTTTACTGCCTCAACATAATATTTTATCAAGGTAAATTGTTCATACTCTAAATGACAGGTTATACTGTCTGCCAGAACCTTTAGGTTGTGAAATATATTTTGGATGTTGCCAGCCACCATGACACCTGTGCCAGCCGTAATAAGTGCATTCCTACCATTTCGCAGTCCGCAAGAAAGAAGGAACAGGACACTAAAGCAGCGCAGGTGCTTGAAACACGAGAGCACGATAGAAAGCAAAATCCAGATGAATCCAGCTATCAGTAAGGGACCCAAAGGACTGTGTGCCAGGGAAAAGCGCATGCCAAGGAACAATAGAAAGCTTGAGACAAAGCCAACTGCAGAGCAAACTGCAAAAAGCTGAATCAGGTACTTCCAGCCAGGTTTCCTTTCGGATATAAAAATTCCCCATGCTTTCTGGGCTATTGAGACAAATGTTTGCATTTTCTTCTGATGCTGACATTGTGAGGGCTCAAACTAAAAGGAAAGAAAAACAAAAATACTGTTAGTTACAGGATCACGCTTCTGACAGTGATGTGCTTTTAGCAGTACTTCACATTGCAAAAGGTCTGACTCACACTGTGGCTGACCCGCCTGTGTGAGACCCAAATCCTTGTCCCTAGTATCACATATATAAACATGGAAGAGATGGCTATAAAAGGCATTCTAGCTTCTTTTTTTTTCAAGTATTTTTGCCTTTTTTCTTTCTGTAAACTTTGATTTCTCCTTTGCTATATAGACACAGTGGTTCCTATGTACATATATTTGTGTGTATATGCACAAGAGGGACACAAGCCTCTGGTAGCATCCAGTGCTTCCATGCAGGTGCTAGCTTTGCCTTACATGGGCACTGAGAAGGGGAAGAGGGGAGCATGAGTACTTCCCATTAGTACCCTGATGCAGGGGAGCACAGTTTGACAGACAGGGAGCAGCCAGAGTAGCTGCCAGGAAGGGAGGAACGGGCGGACAGCCTGTGCACACTTCCCAGGGATGGAGGAATGAAGATCTTTTTCAGCTGGAGGTGGGTCAGTACAGAGGGAAGGAAGTATGTTTCAAAGCCATCAGTCCTTCTTTGTGTCTCTCCTGGGATAACGCAGCTACAAATTGGTTCATATACACTTTCAACCCTGATTGCTTGTACTTGCCACAATCTCTCTTGCCTACCACCGTGTCCGTTCTACAAGTTACAAGGTATTTCTGTGAGATTCAATTCAGTTTGATGGGAGACAGCCCAGCTCTCGCTATCTTTCCTTCTTCTTTTACAACATAATATAGCGCAATTTGTCCAAAGATGCAAGATCAATATATATGCATATTACCCTCAGAGCAAATGAAATGCTAATTAAATAAAATAAACTGTTGCAATTTTTTCTTACATAGGGAACAGTTTTCTTCACAAATACATCCTGAAGATACTACTTTGTCTTTTGTTTAGCTTAAACACAGCAGGTAGTCAGGAACTAAACTATTATTTTGTATACTGGCATTTGACATTGTGAATTCTGCTAGCATTCATTGTACCACTTTCTCCTTCCTGTCACTGTAATTAGTTAATAGTTATGTCATTATTGGCTTTGCATGCAACAGAAGCTGAGGGTGATTGAAGCAGGCTTCTGACCCCAGCTGGGACCTTCTTGGACTGCTGTGCTTGCTGTGCTGTTTTTCCTTGGCCTCATTTGAGTCTGATCCTTTCTAGTGCTGAGGACTATTCTGAAAGATGCTGAGTTTTTTGGTGCTTAACTGCTTCAGTAGGGATTAATGGAGGTCAGCAGCTCTCAGGGTAGGCTCCATCTTTAGCACTATAACTCTGCTTGGGCAGGCTGAAGAAATTGCCTTCCTTCAGGGCCTCAGTGAATTCAGCTGTAAACTGAGTATAACATCAATTAGAAGCTCTTTCACAGAGCAAAATTAGCTAATTAATGTCCCCAAAGTGTGTAGAAGTCACCATGTGTTTGGCAAAGCAGTGCAAGTGAAATGGGAAGCAGAGGTAGCACACAAGCCACCAGGCTCCAGCTTTGCCATGAGACTTGCTCTCTGCTTTCATGGATGGTGCTTTGCCCTCTTCCTACCAAGTTAGATATTAACGAGGCATTTTTAGGAAGCTTAGTTAAAAAGGAGATGTTCATACTCCTGGAGTCAAGTCGAACTAGACCTAACAGCCAGCAAACCCTGGCAGTGAATCCTAAACTTGCTAGATCAAACAGTACATGCCTTTTGTCTTATTTGTAGATCTAAGAAAAATTGCCCTGTACAGTAAATAGATTTGAAGTTCTGTTCTTCATTTAAGAAGCCATAAAAAAAGAAAATGCAAAAAAAGCTACCATTACTGTAATATTATGCAAACCCATTCATCTGAGAAAATAGCACATTTTGAGTTTTCTTTTACCGCACTCATTTTACAGCTATTCTTAAGCAGAGTTTCTACATGGTTTTGTGTGTTTGTATGTATATACCACCCTGATATTTGTTGGAAGGACGGTACGGCCCGGCACAAGCAATCCAGGAGGTTCCTCGATTGTGTAGAAGACAACTTCCTTCTGCAAGTAATAGAGGAGCCGATAAGGAGAGGTGCCATGCTTGACCTCGTGCTCACCAAGAGGGAAGGGCTGGTTGGAAATGCAACGCTCCAGGGCAGCCTTGGTTGCAACGATCACGAGATGGTCGTGACTGTCAGAACAGTGAGAAGAGCGTGCAGCAAGCTCACTGCCCTGGACTTCAAAAGAGCAGACTTTGGCCTCTTCAGGAACCTGCTTAGGAAGGTTCCATGGGATACAGCCCTAGAGAGCAGGGGGGCCCAAGAGTCTTGGTTTATATTCAAGGGTCACCTGCTACAAGCTCAGGAGTGCTGCATCCCAACTAAAAGGAAGTGCAGCAGGAGGGCCAGGAGACCTCCTTGGATGGATAAGGAGCTGCTGAGGAAAATTCAAAGGAAAAAAGAGGCTTATAAAAGGTGGAAGCAAGGACAAGTGGCCTGGGAAAAGTACAGGGATGTTGTCTGGGAAGGTAGGGACCAGGTTAGGAAAGCTGAGGCCCAGTTAGAATTAAACTTGGCTAGGGATGTTAAGGATAACAGGAAGGGATTCTATAGTTACATTGCAAATATGAGACAGACTAGGGACAAGGTGGGCCCTCCCCTGAAGAAGAGAACTGGCTACCATGGATTTGGAGAAGGCTGAGGTTCTGAATGACTTCTTTGCCTCAGTCTTCACTGCCAAAGGCTCTGACCACACCACCCAAGTCTTGGAAGGCAGCTGCAGGGACTGTGAGAATGAAGACCTTGGGCCCACTGTAGGAGAGGATCTGGTTCGAGACCATCTTAAAAACCTGAACACACACAAATCCATGGAACCTGATGAAATCCATCCATGGGTCCTGAAGGAGCTGGCAAATGAAGCTGCTAAGCCACTGTCCATCCTATTTGAAAAATCATGGCAGTTAGATGAAGTTCCCAAAGACTGGAAAAAGGGAAATATAACCCCCATTTTCAAGAAGGGGAAAATGGATGACCCAGGGAACTACAGACCAGTCAGTCTCACCTCTGTGCCTGGCAAAATCTTGGAGCAGATTCTCCTGGATGGCATGCTAAGGCACATGAAAATCAACAAGGTGCTTGGTGACAGCCAGCATGGCTTCACTAAGGGGAAATCCTGCCTGACCAATTTGGTGGCCTTCTATGATGGGGCTACGGAACGGATGGACAGGGGTAGAGCTGTTGGTGTCATCTACCTGGACTTGTGCAAAGCGTTCGACACTGTCCCACGTGACATCCTTGTCTCTGAATTGGAAAGACATCAATTTGATGGATGGACCACTCGGTGGATAAAGAACTGGCTGGATGGCTGCACACCAAGAGTTGTGGTCAATGGCTCAATGTCCGGCTGGAGACCAGTAACGAGTGGTGTCCCTCAGGGATCGGTGTTGGGACCGGTCTTGTTCAACATCTTTGTCGCTGACATGGACAGTGGGATTGAGTGCACCCTCAGCAAGTTTGCCGATGACACCAAGCTGTGTGGTTCGGTTGATACCCTGGAGGGAAGGAATGCCAGGGGAAATTTAGATTGGATATAAGGCAGAAGTTCTTTGCTGTGAGAGTGGTGAGGCACTGGAATGGGTTGCCCAGGCAGGTTGTGAATGCTCCATCCCTGGTGGTGTTCAAGGCCAGGCTGGACAAAGCCTTGGGTGACATGGTTTAGTGTGAGGTGTCCCTCCCCATAGCAGGGGGGTTGGAGCTAGCTGATCTTAAGGTCCTTTCGAACCCTAACTATCCTATGATTCTATGATTCTCTGTGTGGTTATGGTGTCTTCCTGTTAATGTTTATAAGCATTCAGTAAATGGCTGCAATATGTGATGAGGAGTTTGGCATGACTGTATCTAAGAACTGGAAAAAGAGTCAAGAACAAAGTCCTAGAATTAACAAAAGCCATGCTTGTGGACCAGGAGGCTGGAGACTTGCAAAATATAGACAGAACTTGAAAATAATCAGGGAGTCTCTTTTACTGGGCAGATTCAATACTGTCACATTTGATTACTGCAACACTCAACATATATATCACAGGTTTGCCCCTAACCTACATGAACCTAAAATTCTAAGGCAGAAAAGACATCATAAAAGTCCACTGGGTTTTGGATCCTGTGGCATGGGTGCTCATGTGGCATGGGTGTTGGGAAAGGGAGCGTTCCCATCCCCTAGGGAGCTCATCTCAGAGCTCAGCCACTGCTGGGGTCAGCATCAGACTCACAGCATGTATCTCTGTAGCTTGTCTGACACCTCCATTTCCTGTCATAAGACATCAGCAGCAGTCGTAGATACTTAGCATAGGAGAACTACGCAAAGGATGAAAACTGTAACCCTAAAATATGTGGAGGTTGAAAATTCTTCTATCAGCAGGCACTTAAACAGCTGTGAATGCTTGGGAAGAGAAAATAACACTCTGGCTCAGAGGTAGAAATAAATCTTTGGCCCGAATAAAAAGGCTAATTCAATGCTTAAAGAAATAGTAAACCTTGAGCGCTTTCTGGAATGACTCCTGTTGAAAACATAAATCACAGAAGCTCTCCTGAAGCTGTTAGGTGCAGGTATGAATTTTAACAGGAGGCTGAATAAAGAACAAGAATAAAACCTTCATTTCTGTTGCAGTCTGAAGCAAAGTATTTTTTCTTCTGTCCTGTAGCATTAAGTAATGTGGGGGCTGCTACCGTTATTTATGTAGCATAAGGAAAGAATTATTCTTGGAAAGCAGTTTCTTGCTCTTAAGTGCAAATTTCTTTCCACCAGAGTTTCTTGTGATGTATGCCACAGAGGGGAGCTGGAAACTCTTGCGCTTTCAGCTCTGCCTTTGAACCTGATTTTTCTGTAGAGTCTAAAGAGAACCTTTCTGTGCCTTATTTTCTCTCTCTAGGAAATACTTACTCATATCTGGAAATTTGATATTCATCTACCATATGTCATGCTGGCAGAAGTAATTAGAAGAACAAACTCTGAAAAGGAGCCTCTCCAGCAAGGAGTTTGGGCCATACTTCCTTAAGGCTTGTGATGTACTGAAATTAATGTAATAAAATAAAGTCTAAGAGAGACATTAGGTTAAATGGGAAACTTATATTCTATTGATGCTAAAGCTTCAGCTACACAGTGATCTTTGCCTCATAAATGCTGGAATTAAGGAAGAGAAAGCACACAATAAGAACACAAAACGAAGTGTTTCCTTTTTTGGCTGTTTCAGCAGCCTTCTCTCCTAGCCTGAATCAGTTACATTGAAATGTAAGAGAATGACTTCCCTTTTTTGGATACCATAAGAAAAAAAAACACTGAATTATGGTTTAGTAAGAAGAAAAATACAGGAGGGAGTCTCACATTATTTCCTTTGGTCAATGCAGGGCGTTCAGCAAAGAAATAAAAGCTCAATCAAAAATCCAGCAATGTTATTTGAACTATCCCCAGGGTTTCGTTGAGACTCCTCTCATTTCTTATGTTCACATTGTTTGCTTTTAACTGCAGGGAGAAGGAGAGTAAGTGGCACTAAACACAACAAACGCAGGCAAGGACTGAAATATCTAATCAAATATGTGCACATAGAAGCTTGAAATGCTCAACAACATAGCAATGCAAATAAAACAGCAATTTATACACATGCAAACCAAACAAAAATAACAACTGCTCAACATCTCTTTTTCTTCATGTATTTGAAATACATGGCACAGGAAAACTCTGAACACTGCAAGATATTATGAAGTCTTTAGGATGCCACAAATTGTTTAAATGTCATCTAATATCAATAGCATTGGGTGTTGGACTAGATGATCTTTAAATGTCCCTTTGAACTCAAACCATTCTGTGATTCTGTTGTTCTGTGATTCTGTTGTGTCCACATCTGAGCTATCTGTCTTTCTGTCAGGGAGGAGAAAAGGGATATTACCCAGAGCCCTACTTCAGACCTGGTTTAGAAGTCCACCTTTACATGAGATGGATTGCATTTTATGACAGCTTTTTCTCTATCTTGACTATCAAAACAGTCTGAATTACTCAGAGTTATCCAAAGCCAGGTGAGATGAACATCTCCCTACGTTTCTGTATTGCAAGCACAGATATTTGACAGAGCTGAACACTCTGAACAGGACACAGAAAATGTGTTGTGGGAAACCATAGAAAATGGACATATAACACTGTGGGCCATGTTACTTTTGGAAGTTCTGGTACAGCAAACCCACAGACAGATTCTTCCTTTAAAGTGCAGGCAGGAATGGAAGCACAGTTTGGGAAGCCCAAACGGTAGTTTGCTGATTGACAAAAACAACTCTACAAAACACAAAAAAATCCAGTATGAGGGATGGAAGGAAAGATGAGAGGTTACTAGTCAGCCTTCTCCAACATATAGTATCACCAGACATAGTTTTGGGGCAGCTTAGGACTAAGTTGTTTCACAGACCTTCCAATCAGTAAGATGCAATTAACTTAACAATTAACTCAAAGCAAGTTGTTCTACCTTAGAACAGCTAACACAGTCCATGACTACTATCTGCAGTTCCTTTATAATAACCATAAGCATTACTTACAGACCCTCCTGTAAAGTGCAAGAAGGATCTTCACAGTGTGTGTGCTTCTTGATTTTGGTGAGGAACCAAGATGAGTACTGGTAAAAATTTTCATATGACTTTCCCATCCCCTCCCTCAATGAGTCAGGCACACTACAATTTTGAAATTATCCTGGTTTTGACAAAGATTCATGGGGAAGTAACTTATGCACACGACAAAAATAGTATATAATTTGCAAATGCCACTTTCCACCTTTTTTTCTGCCAGAGTAATAGATATCAGCAAATGAGTTCTGGGCTGGAATTTCAAAGACTTAATTTTACATTGAGTAATGCCTTACCTCTAGAACACCTAAGCTATTTGGGTGCTTCCTGTTGAAACAAGCAGCAATTCAGTGCCTAAGTAAGTCTGAACCTTGAATCTTTTTTACCCTACAAATGTTTCTAATGAGATCTATTCAGATATTTCTGTAAGAGCCTGTTAGAATATGGTCCTTGGAATTGTACCCTCATTAAATGTCCAATGAACACATTCAAATTATATATAAGACCTTGGTTAATAAAGATAATTCATATATAGGAGGGTAGAACTGCCATACAGAAGAATTTTGATAGGCTGGAGAAAAGGATTGAGAAGAATCTCATGAAGTTCACCAGAGGAGAATGGAAAGTCCTGCCCATGGGGAGGAATAACTCCAGGCACCAGTACAGGCTGGAGCTGACTGGATGGGAAGTGCATTGCCGAAGAAGCTTTGTGTCTTTGAAGAAAACTATGTGAACACAGTCCAGCAATGTGCCCTCACAGCAAAGAAGGCTGACAGCATATTGAGATTATTAGCAAGAATTTTGCCCGCAAGTCAGCAGAAGTCATTCTTCTCCTTGACTCAGCACTGGTGAGGCCATATAGGATCATAGAATCATAGAATCATAGAATCATAGAATGGTTAGGGTTGGAAAGGACCTTAAGATCATCTAGTTCCAACCCCCCTGCCATGGGCACGGACACCTCACGCTAAATCATATCACCCAAGGCCTCATCTAACCTAATCTTGAACACTGCCAGGGATGGAGCATTCACAACCTCCCTGGACAACCCACTCCAGTGTCTCACCACCCTAACAGGAAAGAATTTCCTTCTTATATCCAACCTAAACTTCCCCTGTTTAAGTTTTAACCCATTACCCCTTGTCCTATCACTACAGTCCCTAATGAAGAGTCCCTCCCCAGCATCCCTATAAGCCCCCTTCAGATACTGGAAGGCTGCTATGAGGTCTCCATGCAGCCTTCTCTTCTCCAGGCTGAACAGCCCCAACTGTTCAGCCTATCTTCATACAGGAGGTGCTCCAGTCCCCTGATCATCCTCATGGCCCTTCTCTGGACTTGTTCCAACAGTTCCATGTCCTTTTTATGTTGAGGACACCAGAACTGCACACAATACTCCAGGTGAGGTCTCACAAGAGCAGAGTAAGGGGGCAAGATCACCTCCTTCGACCTGCTGGTCATGCTGCTTTTGATGCAGCCCAGGATACTGTTGGTTTTCTGGGCTGTGAGCGCACACTGAAGCCGGCTCATGTTCATTTTCTCATCGACCAACACCCCCAAGTCCTTCTCTGCAGGGCTGCTCTGAATCTCTTCTCTGCCCAACCTGTAGCTGTGCCTGGGATTGCTCTGACCCAGGTGTAGGACCTTGCACTTGGCATGGTTAAACTTCATGAGGTTGCCATCAGCCCACCTCACAAGTGTGTCAAGATCCCTCTGGATGGCATTCCTTCCCTCCAGCGTATCAACCGAACCACACAGCTTGGTGTCATCGGCAAACTTGCTGAGGGCGCACTCAATCCCACTGTCCATGTCAGCGACAAAGATGTTGAACCAGACGGGTCCCAACGCCGATCCCTGAGGGACACCACTCGTTACTGGTCTCCAGCCGGACATTGAGCCATTGACCACAACTCTTGGTGTGCAGCCATCCAGCCAGTTCTTTATCCACCGAGTGGTCCATTCATCAAATTGATGTCTTTCCAATTCAGAGACAAGGATGTTGTGTGGGACAGTGTCGAACGCTTTGCACAAGTCCAGGTAGATGACATCAACTGCTCTACCCCTGTCCATCAGTTCCGTAGCCCCATCATAGAAGGCCACCAAATTGGTCAGGCAGGATTTCCCCTTAGTGAAGCCATGCTGGCTGTCACCAAGCACCTTGTGGTTTTTCATGTGCCTTAGCATGCCTTCCAGGAGAATCTGCTCCAAGATTTTGCCAGGCACAGAGGTGAGACTGAGTGGTCTGTAATTCCCCGGGTCATCCATTTTCCTCTTCTTGAAAATGTGGGTTATATTTCCCTTTTTCCAGTCTTTGGGAACTTCATCTAACTGCCATGATTTTTCAAATAGGATGGCCAGCTGCTTCGCAACTTCATTCAGCAGCTCCTTCAGGACCCGCTGAATCTCATGGGTCCTGATGGATCTCATCAGGACCCATGGACTTGTGCATGTTCAGATTTTTAAGATGGTCTCGAACCAGTTCCTCTCCTACAGTGGGCCCAAGTTCTTCATTCTCACAGTCCCTGCATCTGCCTTCCAAGACTTGGGTGGTTTGGTCAGAGCCTTTGGCAGTGAAGACCGAGGCAAAGAAGACATTCAGAACCTCAGCCTTCTCCAAATCCTGTGTAGCCAGTTCTCCCGAGAGCTTCCTGAGGGGGCCTATATTTTCCCTAGTCTGTTTTTTATTTGCTGTGTACCTGTAGAATCCCTGGAGTAGTAGTAGGAATGCTGTGTCCACTGAAGACATCCCAGTACAACAAAGCCATGTTATCTAGCTGTATGTGCTTTGAATGGGAAATTGAACAGTTGGCTTCAACCGTTTTCTTCCAATCTAAATTATTTTCTTCTTCACCAGGTGCCTTACCAGTGAAGGCTGAGATATCAAATCCATTTAAACTTGCTTCTGATCTCTGCTGGCACAGTACCATGTGCCATGTTCATATTCTGCATTTGCTCTAGGTAAGTTTAATGAATATTATACACCTATAAAAGGTTAAGCATTATATCTCAGTAATAAAAAAAAAGTCCACAGCAAAATATTATTACTTTAGTAGCTTTGAGGTTGTAAAGAAAAGGTGAAATAGGTCTGTCTTTCAGGAGGTTATCTGCATAAGAGACTGCAAAGTAACTTAGGGATTGAAGTTGGCATCTTAAATACCCTACAGCTTTTGTAACTTGGATAAGCACACATACGATCTCTTATTTTTGCAAGACAATAGTTTTCCTACAAGGAAATTAGAAGTTCATTTATTGGATGTGCCATATGGATTTGCTTCTTGCTCATGGTACTAAGGAAAAAAAAAAAAGATGAGAAGTACTAATTTGTGTTCAAACATGAAAAGAGTTGAAAATCTGGGAGTGATTTCATTGTCACAGTGATATGGGAACACAATACACAGCACAGATTTCTAATAACTTCTGATTCAGTAGCAAAACAAGATCATATTTCTTAGAACTTTCTGGAAAATACATAAGAAACCTGTTTTGCTTTAACTTTGGCAATTAAAATAAACTACTGGTTTCTGCAGACACTGCAGTTTGTATGTACATTTGTGTGTCTGGGAGAGAAGAAAATTCTGGACACACACTTGAAATGGGTCATACAGATTCTACTAATTATTAGATTGATCCATTGAACCAATTAATCCTTTTATTCAGTTTTCACCCAAGCCATCTGATAAAGAGGACTACAGATTTACTTTAGAGGAAGTCAAAGGCTGATACACTACTTTACAAGGACAACAGCAACAGAAATAGTAAGAGGAGTCTTGCACACAATCTTCTATGCACCTATGGTAAGTTTCCAACAGCATCTCCATACACTCTTACAGCCACTTACAGAGCTAACTTGCAATTATGCTTTTACTGCTTACGTTTAAAATTGCAGATCCTTTTTTTTTTTTATTTTTTTTTTTTTAATAAAATGTATCTATTGCTTTTCTCAAAAACGCCATGGGTTATGTCCACTGCAGGGATGCTACTTACACCTAAGGAATTCTGAATTGAAGACTGACTCTCACTTAGACTCTGATTTCAGAGATACATGGCTGCACTCCAAGCTCAGTTCTGTCCTTTGTTGTCTTTGTAGCACCCAATCAGCAGCTACTGAAGTGCTGGCATGTACATTATTTATTTGCTCTTGGTTGCAATGTCCCTGCATGTAATTTTCCAGACAGCTGGTTTTCCAGAATGTACTGCTAACACTGATGTAACACTGTCTCACTATTAGACCAGGTTTCACCTGCACAGACCAGCCATACCCTGCTGTTTCAAAAGCAGCTATTGAACAAGTTCAGAAAGCTGTCAGGTGGCAAGATGAACACATCATAATGTTCATAGCATCTAAATTATGTATAATGTAAGGGTATAATTAGATAGAGTGCACCATTTATAACTGGAGAAAGTCTCTATTACAGGACAAATGAAATGAATTTTCAGCAGAACATATCCTTCTTAGTATTATATAGGGGAAAATTCTGTAAAGTGAGTGGGCAAGTGGATATTAAGTGAGTGGGCAAGTGGATATTAAGTCAAACCAAGTTTCCACTGAGCCCAACATCTCAGCCTTGGTAGCAGCATATAGCGTATGTTTACCTAAACACAGAATGGTGGTTCTGGACCATCTGAACATGGTCTAGGTGACCTTACTTGAGTGTGTGTGCAGGGGAATGTCCAGAGGTCCTTTCCAACCTTAACCATTCTGTGATTCTGTGGCAATTGAGATTCCTGTTGGTCCATTTCTTCAGCCTTTGAGACCACTCTGAATGGCAGCACAATCATCAGACACTCCTTCCAGTTTTGTATTATCTACAAACTTGCTGAGGGTGCACTTTTTCCAGGTTGTTAATGAATATGTTATACAGTGTTTGCCCCAGTATCAACCCTTGGGACACACCACTAGTGAACTTTGTCCAGCTGGACTTTGTATTGCTGATCAAAAACTCCTGAGCCCAGCAGTTCAGGCAGTTTTCAGTCCACTTCACTGTCAATTTACTTAACCCATGCTTTGTCAGCTTGTCTATGAGGATATTATGGGAAACAGTTTTGAAA